ATATATATATATATATATATCGTACATTTCATCTTGTCATTCTGATTTGTTTATAAGAGTTGAATTTCAAAATGCGCTTATTTCCATCTTGCATATTGAAGGATAACTGGCAGGATTTGAGCCTAATCGGAGGTTGTCGGATATCCACTAATCTTTCTATGCTATTTAATTTAACGGAACAAAACCTCTTGTTTCTGTTCTTTGTGCTGTAAAAGTAATTTATGCAATTAGTGCGCGTTCCAAAACACTACTTCTGGAACCGGAAGATCTGATCTTAATTTACTGAAAATCAGGTCAAAGAAATTGTAAGGAATCGCATTGTTCCCCTGGAACAAGGAGTGAAGCAAAATTCAAGAAGTTTGTTTGTCAGTCTGAAGTTTTGCTCCATGAAACATGGTAATAAACTTTTTGACCGCATTTGATTTCATTATACCAAGATCTGGAACCGTAAATATGGGACCGTAGATATTGATGACGATATAAATTGGTATTAAATTTAAAAGATTCAGCAGGATACCTTTTCTGTGCAATACGCTTTCAGCTAGGGCTACATTTACAAACAGAACAGGCAGGTGATTAGCAGTTTTCGCAAATGCTTAGTATTTACTCGGCCATCCGGCTGATAATTTGCCATCTTAGCCGGATGCCCAGAGTGGGCGACTAAAGCGAAAAATGTTCCAATATGAAAAGAAAAAAACGAGTTCATTCATATGTGCAAAATTCGAGGTCCAGATATGATATCCCTTTATCATCCCCGGACGAGGAGGAAGAAGGGGCGATTTCTGGGACCAGGTTGTATTTTAGCTGACGTTTCAAAAGTCTTCTCGCTTCCATCGTCAGAGCGTGTTGATCGTTCTCCTGCTTGTGTCAGTATGTGTGTCCAAACTCTAGTTTGACGCCTGGTGCCCGTGTGTGAATCGATTGTATCGATCAGGCGTCAGGCTAGCGTTCGGAAACACTTACTGACATTAGTAGGAGAACGGTCACCACGCTCTGACGACGAAAGCGAGAAGGCTTTTGAAACGTCAGCTAAAATACAACCTGGTCCCAGAAATCGCCCCTTCTTCTTCTTCCCCTTCCGGGGACGATGAAAGGAATATAAGTTCACTCATTTCCAGCACCCATTTTGTCACTTATTATGAAGCGAATTAAAGAGCCGACGAAATTTTCCCCATTTGGCACTTTGCATGAGCCTGTACGGTAAGTACAGTCAGTCAGACGGACAGCAGCTGCTTTAACTTATGAAATCCAAGGATATTTACTAGAAAGTGCCTGGTACGCCAAACTAGCTCAGGCTACGTCTCCCAAAAGTCTTGCAGCAGTAAAGTAAACACCGTAATAAAAAGAAGTAATTTGTTTTTTATCAAGTTATAATACGTTGTTTAGAAATAACAGTTATTTAAGAAAAGCGAAAAATTCCGAATAAATATGAAAAATTGAGATTACTGGGAAAACCTAGGTTTTAAATAAAGAAAAAAAATTCTGTTCCAGCAAAAAACGAATGAATAAAGGAGCACAAGTAGAATTTCTTCTAAAAGTTATCGTTTTTGTGAACATTTCGGGTACAGATGCTTCTATATGTCGCGTAATGTAAAGTATGGCTATTATCAAATAGGAATAAGGTATTGCATATGATCACACGTAGATATGCCAGTCAATGACATATGAATTTAATTAGATTTACCAGGGGCAATCGTCACATTCGTAATTATTTCGGGATTTCGATTACAACAAGGTTCAGATCGTTATTGAAATAGTGATAAACACTTTAATATTTTCAGTGTTTTTAATCAGTTGTCTACAACTAAGGATTCCGTTCTATGTGCTTTCCAAAAACCTTATATATCTTAAAAGAATTTATCTAAATAGCTCTCTGTTTAGGTCATGGTTTCAGAATCACCGAAAAATGTCAACCCATTGGCGAGAAAAATGGACGTCCACAAAAAAAGTCACAAATGAATACACAAAAGATTGATAAAAAAACTTTCTACAACAAGTAACACTTTGGAAGGCGGTTTATTTAGATATTTCAACGTCGAATATCTGCGCACTTTACCTTCTTTGAAGGTTAAATCAGGAAAAAACCAAATTTTTGGTTCTATGAAAAGGTATGGTTAAAGCGTTTCTGGCTTATATTTGTTTATAGTACAACACCACAAAAAAAGAAATTTCGGTCCGCAACGTTTAGTAGCGTAGGGAGTTCTTTGGACCTCAAAACATTTCAGATTTTGCTAAATTCTGCGCCTATTTCCCTTCAATAAAGTGAGCTGAACTGGACTCTTTTCTAGTTATATTGCGCCTCAATTCAATTTAATGAACAAAACAAGCAAGGTCAAAAGGCGTGTTAACTCACCCTCTCAAATTAAGATCTTCACACTTCACGAATTACTGTATTTACGATTTTCCTGTTGTTAAATCTCTCGGAATCCGAGCAGGCGCACATTCTGGCCAAAATGGACTGTGATCGAGTTCACTTGATTTTTGACTTTCCTTGCTCCTTATTTCGCCAGTTGAACCTATGCTCTACTCTGTCTCATTCCTTCAAAGTACGGAATCAGTGGAGCATTTTATACCGCTCTGGCAGGGGCTCTGGCTTTGTCTCTGATGGCTCCTCTAGTTGTCCAACTGAAAACCAAGGCGCCAGGGGCTCGAACTTTCCTTCAAGTCATTTACGCACGCTTTGGAAAGTGGCCGCACCTCCTCTTCTGCTTTATTGCATTCTCCATCAACGTCACTGCTCTGTTGGCTCTGTTAACGCGTATGATATAACTATGATATATTATTTATATTATCCACCATATTTTTTAATGCTTCATTTTCACTGTGCTAATTGCATAACAGTTCGACTGTCGATTTTGACCATTTCTACCGCTCGCGTTAACGAAATGAGCGCGAAAGCAACATCTTACGCATTGATTAGTTTTAGGTGGAAAAAGGCTTTTGTTGCATCTTCTGTACTCGCTTCCCAAGTTGGGTCCGTTGTCGTGATCCGATCTAGAATACTGGTGGCGGGAGAGGGCACAGACGACTGACGCAGGTGCAGCCGTCCGCTATACGTATCGTCGGAGCTGGCTCAGATCCCACTGAATAAAATTGCCTCTAGGGCCATGATAAGAAGGAACCATTGCGGTCTGACTCTAAAGTCACCAATTGGCGTCTCCATATAAATACACACTGAGCTGACGGGGAGGTTTGAGCTGTCACGTCACTTGGCAACCATCCAAGCCACGGCTTTTAGCACATCATGACAGCTTCACGGTCACTAGAGGTCGAAATATCCTTAGCACAATTCGATTGTCCGAGGCGGGCAATCATCTGATGCTAATATTGTCAGAGGTGACTGCTATGAACGGCTCTCTTGCGCGTGCCACACACACGATAAAATCCATACAAAGTACACCAGGGGGTGGCTTGCTCGGATCACATTTCGTGGCCCAACTCCGCGTGCAAAGTGCAATCTCTAGTCTCTTGTGACTGCCAGCAAGTGCGCACACACTAGTGTCTGCATATCTCATTCCAGTCTGTCCAATCACCTTCAAAATTGATTCACACAGGAACTCCCGCGCTCCCACACTTCGGACACCGTCCCCTGGGCTGTGGCTGCACACTCGTCCGGCTGACTACTTCTCCCAAACTCTTTACAGAAAACACTATTTCTCCCTTTTGGCCTCTCAATTCTTCTCATTCCACACTGAACCGTGCCTGAGGATTGTAGCGGCAAAACCCTTCCCTATTAACTGCAGCCTCTGCGATATAAACATGTCGCAGAGGAGCCAAACGGACAGTGGACCAAAGAACACACTTTCTACCTAATTGAAAGGTGCCTGTTAAACACG